CCAGTAATTTCCATAGGCAGCTCAGATCACCTTCACCATTAACAGGGCTATGAGGCCACATAATGTCTATACTGAGGGCTGGCCGAGGTTTCTGCTCAATGCATGTCTTCAGAATTCTTCTATTGCTGTGCTTAACATAGAAATTTTGCAGGTAGAAGAAAAAGAATATTCACAACATCTAACGTTTTTTAAAAATTGAAAGATTAAGTTGTGTGCTTTTTCAAGCAGAGGATATATTTTTCTTCGTAATAAGCCGAGAAAATGTAGTACTATTTAGCAACGTTTTTGTTTCAAGTAGATGGAAGGTAAAAATAAATCTCTACCAACTTTATTTAAGATTTTGCTGTTTTACAGTCTTCATTTTCTAAACTCTTTAAAAAAAAAACAAAGCATATTTTCAGACAAGAGCACCAATTAAATGTAATCAACTCTAGTTGATTTAAAGACTAACAGTGTATTATAAACTGACCAAAATACCCTTCTACTGATTCAGAACAGTGTTTAAAACTGCAGTAACACACATACAAATACAAAACATAGAATGCATAAAAACAGCATTACTCAGAAAAAAAGGCTGTATTTAGACTACTGCAATCAAAAAGGAAGTTCATACATGAATCTAAAAATAATTGTGAAAACCTATGTATAAGGTTGCAAAAACTAAGAAACTTAAAGAGACTCCTCCCATCAACATCTACTCAGTCAAAAAGGGTTAAAAATAGGCTCAGGTACTGCACCTGCCTCTGTGACCCTTGTCATTTTTTGTTGTTTACAGTCGTGTTTTCCTATTTTTAAAACAAACTCCTCTCCATATCCTGACAGAAATAACCACACCTACAGCAGAACAAAACTGACTATGCAAGTAAAGGAAAACAGGATTTTCATCCAATTCTTTATAGGTACAGCTCTCTTCAGCACCACATGTAGCATACAGGTTAAAAAAAAAAATCTCAGATTGCTCTTACATACTTCTTGAAGCCCTGTATGCAAAACTTCAGACTGCAATTCCTTTTGCTTGCTCTAGTACAGGTTCTGAGGGTCCAAGTTTAAGATAAAACAAACACAGACCTTATTTAAATACTACCTTGTACCACACTATTATGATTCTACTGCCTCATTCTCAATTAGTTGCATTTTTGTATGTTTTTTGAAACTGTCATTCAACAAGTGACAACACCCCTAATTCTTGACAAGTACATAAATCTAGTATCCTTGTGTTACTTCCCTTTAAAGTTTAGCCTATTCAACACTGTCCAACAGAATATGTGTATGTAATTAGTAAGTAGCATTAGTAATATTAAAGTAATGCTCAAATCAACAGGAATATCTTCACACATCCACTAGAAATACACTGTAGCTATCAAATAAAAAGGAAGTTATCTTAACATCCACTAGAAATACACTGTAGCTAAAAATATATATGTTAAAAAAAATTATAGCCATTAGGCAAAGAGGTTTGTCTATCTATATTTTAGGAACAGCCCCTTTATTTTTGAGGGCTAAAATTGGGCAGGGAAATAAGTGTAGACAGTGCTGTTACAGCCACTAAAAAAGGACATGGTTAAATTTGATGATGTTAACATTAGCTATCTCCTTTATCTGAAAACAAGCATGATAATGATACACATTTCTCTGTCCTGATCTGTTCCAGTTACATTATTCTGGAAGATACTGTACAGTATTGTATAACAGTAATGTTTGGCAAAGTGCAGAATTAGTGTTCTTTTCATTATCTTGCTGTCTAATCGGAACTGTTGGAAAAGTCATAGAGGTCTTGGCAAAGGCTACACATGGGTTAGGTTAGCCATGCAATTGAACTACTAGACTTAATGTCACCTTAGGCATTATCCTATTTTAAGTAATTAAATGTTTTCTCTCCCGTAAACCTGTATCTCTTCATTGTTTAAAAAAAAAAGAAAAATAAAAAGATTAAAGGTATTAAAAATGACTACATGATGAGGCTTTATGCCACAGGAGGTGCCACCATGCCTTTTGAGTCACAGAATTCAAACAGAGCTCCCAAAGATGAGTCTCCTAGGAAGATTTAGACTGATTTGCACAAATTTGCACAAGGCTAGTCCTAGCCTGAATTCATTATTGAAGGGCTGAGGTTTTCCATATGAAAATGCTGACTCTTAAAAACTTCAGAATTAGGATTTAGTCTATATCGTGTCAAGATCTGAAACATTTGAGAAACTTCCTTTTTCCATGGTTTGAAAGATTTGACTGTTACTTGCATTTTTCTTTTCCCCACAATAATCTTTTTTTCCCTCATCTCTTCTTCCATAGAAATCTTTCATTTTCTTCTTACCACAAAGGTGAGAACAAAACAGAGAAAAACACAAGTGAAGTGTTTTCATTTTCATTTTTGGTTTCATTTTCAGAAATGACTGCTATGCATAAAACATGTAGCATTTAGTTACCCCAGTTAACTCTTCAATTTTTTTCTTACTATTTTTGGCAACAGATCTCACCATGTATTAAATCAGGGTGGGAGAAAAACATATGATCTAATGTTCAGGTGCAGAGTGTTGTCTGCAACTTCCATTACTGAAGTTGTATAAGCAGACCCCTGAAAGCATTTACTAAAGCACCTCCCTTCCTAAAAAAACCTAAACAAACCCTTGCCAGCGTGTTTCAAGACATGCTATCCTTTATATTTACAGGAAACACCTATTAAAATGTCTTCCTCCATCCTACCAAATAACTCTCCGTGTTGGCCCATTCAAGGGGCTACGCTTCCTCCAGTCTTAAAGTCTATGGGTCCCAATTCTCATGCAAAGCTTTTAAATATTTCCCCTTACGAACACCTCAAAAACCTCAGGATTTAGCACATACACACACACCGCTTCACTGTAACACGGAGATGAGAAATGAACACATCCACAACCAACACATCCTCGTTAGGACTGAGTTAGAGGCAGCAACGATACACCCTAAATACTGGAAGGAACAGCATTTTCCACTAGTCATGCTTCTCACCTCTCTCACCAACTGCATGTTAATAAGTTTGTAATTTTTTTATTATTATTATTATTTTCTCTTGGTCATTTATTTTCTCGGGAATATTTCCTGTGATTTTCCACAGTTGAGGCAACAGAGATCCCCGAGACCAGCATCACTTGTGCTGTGAGCCAGTGTCATGCTCAAGGGCAGGCTTTAGGGTTTAAAACGAGGTAAAACACTACTTGTGGGGGGCTTTGGGAGCCAAAATGAGGAGCGGGGTGCAGTGATGCAGGCAAGGGCTGAGCCCTACCCCGCACTGCGGGGCCAGAGAGGCCAAAGTCTCCTGTGCCTCACCACGCCACAGCCCCCAGCCCCGCCGGGGAGAAGCAAGGGGGGAGAAAGGGGCCTCGGCCCGCGGGAGACAGGACCACGCCTGACCGAGCAGGCAGCGGAGCAGCGGGGACCCCCCGGGCAAGCTCTGCCCGCGCCAGCCCCGACAGTGCCCCAGAGACCCGGCGGCCCACCCCCCGCCCGCCAGACCCGGTCCCTCCTCCGGCACAGCCCAAAGCCGGGCCGACCAGAGCACGCACTCCGCCCCCGGAACTCCGCCCCGCCGCCCCGGAAGGTAAACACCGCTCCGCGCCGTGGCGGCGGCGGCCCCGGCGTGCGGCTGAGAGCGCTTATGTGCCGGCAGCCTCGTCCCGAGCGAGCCCTCACGGCGTCGCTTTCCCTCACAGGCACCGAGCACGGGCTCCTACCGGGCGCGCGGCTGCCACCGCCGCGTGCCTCTCCTAGGAAAAAGGCGCGAAGCTGTTTGCCTCCTTCCGAGGGGCGGCGCTGGCTCTAGCCCGCTCCTCCGTCAAGCAGCAAACCTTCCCGCGGGCGGGGGGACGCAGGAACGCGGCGTGCTCAGCCCCGGCGGGAAATGCTGTGGCAATCCCTCCGCTTCGCAGGAAGCCTAACGGTCTACCCCGTGCAGTAATTCTGCGGGGAAGAGGAGAAATACCGGGCAAATGAAAGACGAGGATTTTTTGATGACAGTTCTACACTGTCACACGTGCTATGTAAGCTAAAAGTCCTGAAAGGTTCACGGTTCAAAAAAAGGGTACAGAAATTGTGAAACCTCTAATACAAAAAAAAAATGGCTAAGTAATTTTCTTAAATGTTGTAGACTCGTTTTAAGATATCATCTTGCTGGTATGTATTTGCACACTGTCTCAATACGGTGCTGTGTATTTGGCACATACTGCTCCATGCTGTGTGGAGCAACAGAGCATAACCTTTTTTTTAAGAGTTCCTAGATAAAGTAATAATAATAAATTTAATAGCTCTGCAGGCCTGTTTCAGAGTTTTTGGCTATGTGTGGCCAGACCCACACAGCTGTAACTGGCCCAAACTTTGTGGTCAGCCTCCTAAAGATGCTGTAATAGTGATCGTTCATAGATTTTGTGCAGTAATTTACCAGTCTTAAAACATTTTAATTCATCATTCATCCAAGAACCTGAAAGTTATCTACAAATAAAAAGATTGTTGTTGCAGTTTTCCAGGAATAAAACTGGCCTAATATTAGGAAAATAACACTAATGCTTGGGAGGCAAATTGACAAAAGTATATTCCTAATTCTAGGCCACACGGTAGCCTAGCATGACTATATCTAATCAGCAGTCCTTGTACATACAACAAGAGTAAGTAAAAAAAATCAGTAAAATAGAAAGAAATCTTTATAGAATACAGCCTGAAAAATGCTTGGCAATTAAGGGAAAGTCTGCACCGTCAGGAAATACATTGGGATTGCAGGTATGGTGCTCCACAGCACCACAACCTCCCTTAGTGTGACCCAGAGATACTATCTGAGCTGGGGGGGACTCCATACCCGACAAAGGTATTCATCGGTAGAACATTCCTATTTCAAGCATCATAGGGGCTATTTGAAATTATTCTTTACAAGACTGGAGATGTAATGTGGGTCTTCATTTCTGCCTCTTGGAACATTCCTTATGTACCATCAAGCAATTTTTGGCACAAGATCTGAGTTTAACATAAAATAAATATTTGCAAACTTGTTTATTGATGGGTTTGTATATATTCGGTGTAAGTAGATACAATCTCTAAAGGCAGAAAAAGCCATCCTACGTAGGGACTTTTAGAAATTAAAAATTCCAATAACTAGTTTTGTACCTGAGAATAATGTAGAAGTACTTGACCAAAGAGATACTAGAATTAGAAATAATATGACAATATTAATGAAAGCTCAATAGAAGATGTATAAGGATGATGTACTAGCCTTCTCCACTGACTGCAAGTATTAATAGCTATACTGGAATAACTCATTCATTATTATGCAGTAAAAATGTATTTCTCTCATAGTCACCCAGCACCCAGAATATAGTTGCAATAATCAAAAGATTTTGTGGTAACTAGAACAGTAGCTCCTTCTTCTGTAGCTGGTAATGGGAATGAAGTTTCACAGCCAGTCTGAGGTTTTACCAAGCCACAGTCACTGCAAGTGCATTCTTCCACTGAATACATTAATGTTTCCCTTTGAAATGAATGTCTAATTCCTTCTGTATTCACACTGCTTTCAGTATTAGCCTTGAGAATATTATTCAGCTCCACAGAAGAGTCTGTAAATATACATAAGTTAATTCAGTACATACATCATGCTATACCAGACATACAGTTATTAAAGATCCAAATTTCATTATGTTCCAACTATGTTCCTAACCTTAGTGAAAGTTTTAGGAGGTAGCTACGTATGATAATCTTTTGTTCTATGACAATATACCCCCTATACTTCAGGATAAGCATTTAAGTAATCTAACACATATTTTCTAATCAGTTATTATTTATTGGCTGAACACTCCATAAATATTAGTATTTGTAAAATGTAAAAATAACTTAATTTTTTTCACCTTCCCAAAATACACCACATCCGCTTCTCACAGGCTAGAATATTAAGTAAAATTATTTAATGTCTTATAAGATGGAAAGCTAAAATTGAATGTGTATCTTCTACCTGGGTAGAATTCCTTTTGTGTTCAATGAGAAGAAGATGAAACCCTTATAAGGATCTTTTGCTACTGAGGATTCATAAATGATTTCTCAAACACCAGCAAGTAAGCCAGGTATGAATATGCAATAAAACAATCCTGACATGATCCAGAACCAACAAAGAGAGATTGCTGCTTTTACAAGTTATCATCTGGATATTTTGTTCCCTAATAACTTTAATATCTTCATTGAGACTATTTGAGGAATACAAAACAATCTAACACAGACAGTTACCAGAATCTGAAATATAAATTATATGCAAAATTTATACATGGTAAGAGTAGCTAAAATGTACAATGATCTAAAATTATTTGATAAAGAATCTTATTTATTCACCTGTGTTTTTCAGTTTTTCTTTTAGTTGCTTTAGGTGCTTCCATTTAAACAAGACCATTAAGGTGAACAGAGTGAGCATTAAAATTAATCCTAAGCCCAAACAAATCCAAAGAACTCCACCTGAATCAGTACCTTATGAAATAAAATAGATGCATTAAATTAATTGTAAACAATAACCAATGAACAGTAAGCATGTCCAACACATAAAACTACTTCTACATCGAAGGAGCAATTTCTATTTCTATTGAGCGACAGCTCAAGTAAAGCTTGAGAGCTTTAAAGCTTTACTCTTCTTCACACACATACTCATACAGGACACATTGCATACATCTTTAATATTTTTGAGCCCATATATTATTCTGATAAACTCTTTCCAGGTTTTAGATTTCTTTAAGTTTCTACGTTTACGATTCTATGTAAAATACAACATGAAAATGCCCAGCATAGCCACAAAGTATTGCAGAAATATTACTTACTGTTATCACAGTAGTTTTCACATGAAGGTGGTGGTGTACTAGAACATCGAAGATGACAAGGCTTACAAGAGAGCAGCAAATTATCAAAGTATTCATTTTTGGCGCAGTGTGCCATCAGGGTCAGTAATTACGAAACTGGAAAGCCACAGAAATTGTAAAAGAGTGAGGATCATCTACAAAGGGCTTTTCAGTTCTCAGTTTTAGCAAATCTAAGAACAGCTAGCAATAGTAGTTAGACTTCGATCATAGCTCCACTACATAGTATCATGTTAAATAAAAAGTATTTAACTCTGAAGTCCCCAAGGAATTACTGTTCCTTTTTGGGCAGTTCACAATTGTAGAAAAACTGAACAGCTGCACCAAGATAATTTTCAATGTAAATTTTCTCTGAAACAGAAAATGGTTATTTATAGAAGACATTTCTTGAACAGGTGCTAAACATTACAAAGCGTAGAAAAGCAAGAAGATCTCCAAACAGGAGTTTATAATAATTGTTCTTGTCTTTAGAGTTTTGTGGGTTTTTTCATGGAGATGGGCTGCAGTAATTATGTTTTCCTGTAATATGCAAACTATGCAATGCTTACTTTTTGTTCTTTTTGTCCCAGTCCAAGGAGCATACGATGAAAAAAATAAGAGGCAGGAGGCATAGCAATAAGAAGATACAACCAATTCAGTTTCTAGGTTTGCCACTGACTCATTCTGCAACTTCAGACAACTTCCTTCGTACCTGTTTCCCTGGATGGACAATAATATTTAGAACACATAGATGATGAGAGAATTACTTTTTGTAAATGAATGGTTTTCTGATTTTAAATGAAATACTGTGAAAGTACAAGTTCAACAATTACTTCATAATTGTGTTGTACAAAATACTTCTAAGACCTTCAGTTATAATGGAAAGACAAAATCTAGAGATTCAGTCACTGGGATATTGCTCCTCAATTCCAAATTAGCCTCATTTATCTAGTCTATTAGGTTTTGGTTGGCTTTTTTGCTTGGTTCATTTTGGCAGTTTTAGCTGGTTTTTTGCTTATAACGATAGTTATATGAGAAATTTAATAAGATTACATTCTAATTGTGAAAGAAGAGCTATATGAATATTTTACAATTTTGATTCAAAACATTATCTGCATTTTTTCCCTTATTTTTCCACAATACAGAACTGTCACTGTACTAAAACTGCGGTACCCAGCATGGAAAAACAGGTGGGCCATAGATTTAATTCTTGTGGTAGAGTATATATGACACCTCCTTCCCAGCCAGGTGATGGGGCACACTGAGCATGCATAGATTTGTCTGTGTATATGCAGTGAGTGTAACATTTCTGAAAATGCATTTGATTTTCTCCCAGGAAAAAAAAGCTTCGATAACAGACTGCCACAATGAAAATAATTTACACAGCTTACTCATATCTTGACTTTTTAATCTAACAGAATTTATTTTAAATACAAAGTTAACCAGTAATATCTAGCAAGTTGCAATAGCTGCCTCTATCCAGTATCCCTGCCACAGATAGTTTAGAATTACAGGCTTATTTATAGTTAAATTTCTCCTTGACATAATTAAGTTAATTGCCTCTTTGACTACAGAAAGAGAAGAAAAATATTGTATAAGGAATTGTAATTTCATACCACATTACTATGTATGAGACTTATTTTCCCACAAAATGCACCATGTGGGAATACACAAACTGTTTTTAGTGGAATAGTCCAACAAAGCAATCTGTATTCTAGTCTCTAGTAGGTGGAACTGCTTATTGTGGCTTCTGCACTTGTTTCTATAGGCCAGGTGCACAGCTGTAGCCTTTCTGTTACGGGCTTTTCTCCCTGTTCAAGATTAGTGGATAAACAGGAATTGACAAAATCTGATTTAGATGTGACAAAAGAAAATACAGATACAGACCACGGGTGACACCAAAAAGTTCACCAGGAAGTCAATGCTGGTGCTGAAGTCGTAAAACTGGTTCTGACTTCCTTCATACGTTCACACTCTAGGGGAAGAAACCTAAGTTATCACTAGAATATCATTCCTATTTCTGATGAAGCACCATTTGGTAGCTTATGCATACAGTGATTTGAGCTTTTGCTTTTACGATGCTGCTTAACCTTTTCAATCATGGAGAGGACAATCACATTCTCAACTGTGATCTGAAGAAGGCAGATATTCATGAAAGTATCTTCATGGTATCCACAAGTATGATACAGATAAACTGGGTCCAATGCTTTAATCTTTTATCAGTATAATTCCATTGACTTCAGTAAAATGCTCTCTAATTTTACTTAAATTGAGTATTTTCCTGTGCCGCAACTTCCCATTGTTCTTGCATTTTTATATTCATATCTATAACTTGTACTTATACTTCCTTAGAAAGGAACCAGCTGACTAATTCTATAATAGTTTTCTACAGCTGGTTGCAACACTACACATCTGCAGGATAGGTACAGTCTACTGTAGTAAAATTCCTTATGAAATCAACAGATCTCAAATTCCAAAACTTTCAAACTATATCACAGCTGCTGAATGCTTCTAACATTATTTTAGTAGTCTAGGAAATCACGTGTGCACTGTAACAGATGAATGAACCAGTTCCTTAATCAGTTTCACACTTTTTTTTCTGGTTGTACTAGGAGTGTGGGGGAGGACTGCCTTTGTTTCAGCTGCTTTTATTACAGTTTTATTGCCTCATTTTTTTATGTACAATAATGACACTTTTTTTATTTTGACTTTTGACTGAATTGTGTAGGTGTACTTATTTCGAACACTGGCTTTCTTCAACAAAGTAGTTTTGCTAAATAGGTAGGTTTATAGCATTTTGGTATTAATTCACAGTTTCACAAAGAAGAAAAAGAAGTTCAGATTAACAGTGATGAGTATTTTTGCTGGGAGATAGCAAAATGCTGTTGTTAAATAGTGTGTAGAAATCCCAAATAGGCAACACAGATAATACTAAGCTTGAACATTAATCAATGATTGATAAACTCCTTAAAGTTCAGTGTTGTTACCATGAAGAAAGAAACCTTGAAATGCTTGCTAGCGATAGGTTCTGTTAAACAGAACACCTTTATGTGCCATTTCAGGTCGTCTTCAGAATTTTTTTTAATGGAAGAGGGATTCTATTGAGATGTGTGTGACTTCTCCCATATGCGCCCACATTCTGTATCACTGACGAAAGAGTAAAAAACAATGCTTAGCACTCCAGAAGTCAACGCATGTAGTTCCTTTACTGTTTTCAAAAAAACAGGCCTAAAACAAAAATGCACACGGATATTTACAAGGTATCTTCAAAAGGTATTGGCTGAAGGAGGTAGCTTTCTTTGGAAAATGTTAGTCTAACTTTCTTGCATACCTGCATGGGTAATATTTATCTACTTCACAGGAACAGTACAAAGTAATTTTATTAAAATTCGCTAAGTGCTTCAATGACAATTATTAAACCCATGCAAAGTATGAGTTCATAGAATCATAGAATACCAGGTTGGAAGGGACCTCAAGGATCACCTGGTCCAACCTTTCTTGGCAAAAGCAGTCTAGACAAGATGGCCCAGCACACTGTCCAGCCGAATCTTAAAAGTGTTCGATGTTGTGGAATCCACTACTTCCCTGGGGAAATTATTCCAATGGCTGATTGTTCTCACTGTGAAAAATTTTCCTCTTGTGTCCAGCTGGAATGTCCCCAGGAGTAACTTGTACCCATTACCCCTCCTCTTTTCCATGCGACTCCTTGTGAAAAGGGAGTCTCCATCTTCTTTGTAGCCACCCTTTAAATACTGGAACATGGTGACA